GAAATGCACAGTTGTAGAACCATTCTGGAAGTCAGTATGGCAGTTTCTCAGAAAATTGGGAATCAATCTACCTCATGACCCAGGAATACCACTCTTGGGCATACACCTAAAGGATGCTCAATCATAATCCAAGGACATTTGTTCAACTATGTTCATAGCAGCATTATTTGTAATAGCCAGAACCTGGAAACAACCTAGATGCTCCGCAACTTAGGAATAGATAAAGAAAATGTGGTACATTTATACAGTGGAGTAACTAATCAGCGGTAAAAAACAATGATATCATGAAATTTGCATGCAAATAGATGGAATTAGAAAAAAACTATCCCAAGTGAGATAACCCAGGCCCAGAAAGATGAGCATGGTATGTACTCTTCCATAAGTGGGTACTAGCTGTAAAGCAAAGGATGAAGAGCTTACAGTCAATGACCACAGAGAAGCTAAGTAACAAAGATAATCCTAAGAGTAATATATAAAGATCCCCCTGGAAAGAGAAAATAGACAAGATTTCCTGAGAAAATTGGGAGCATGGGGATGGGGAGAGTAGGGAGCACAGAAGGGGAAGAGGGGAGGAGAAGGGGAGGGGTGAGGAGAACTTGAGGGAATGAGATAGTCAAGATGTGGTAATGACAGAGATGGAGAGCAAGGAAAGAGAAACCTGGCACTAGAGAAATTCCCAGGAATCCAGAAGGATGACCTCAGCTAAGACCCTAAGCAATAGGGGAGAGGGTGTTCAAATTGGCCTTGCCCTATAGTCAGATTCATGACCATCTTAAATATTACCATAGAACTTTCGTCCAGCAACTGATGGAAGCAGAGGCAGAGACCTGCATTGGAGCACTGGACTGAGCTCCCAAAGTCCAGTCGAAGATTGGGAATAGTGAGAATATGAGCAAAGAGGTCAAGACCATGACAAGTACACCCACTGAAACAACTTACCTGAGCTAATGGGAGCTCACCAACTTTGACTGGACAGGAAAGAAACCAGCATAGGACCAAACTAGGCTCCCAGAATGTGGGTGACAGTTGTATGTCTGGGGCAGTTTAGATACTGTAGAGAAGGCCTCAAAGCAATGTGTCTTATCCTCTCTACGGAGTGGATGGGGAGGAAGATTGGAGAGAATGGGAGGAGGGGGAGGAAATGGGAACTAGGATTGGCATGTAAAATAGAAAAGAGATATCTTTTTTTAAATAAAATAAAACTAGAAAAAAAATAAAATGTAAGTCAACAGAATTTAAGAGAAGACATCACTACCTATTTGTAGGCAAAACTTTTTTTTTATCATCTATTTAACCAACCAATTAGAAAAGCTTTATACTATCTGTTATTGCTTCTGTTTATTTAGTGACAATTTTAATAGTATTTTTAAATTAATTTTATTTTATGTATATGAGTATTTTGCTTGCATGAGTATCTGTGAGTTATGTTCCTGGCATCCATGAAGCTCAGAAGAGGGTGTTAGGATCCTTTGAACTGTAGTTACAGTCAATCGTGAGCCGCCATGTAGGGGCTGGAAATTGAACCTGGATTCTCTGGAAAAGCAACCAGTGATCTTAACCACTGATCCATCTCTGTAGCTCTGACTAGTTTTTCTTTTTTTTTTTAAAGGAAGAAAACAAAGGAAAAGAACTAACCAAGCAGAAGAGATTTCTGAAATAAAAACATGAATTTGCCAAAAGGAACCGAGAATGACAGAAAAAGATGGGAAAACCCTGCATGTACATGGAATAGGAGATATTGTAAAAATATCAGTGTTAAAAGATTTATACAATTAACTCAGAATTCACGACGATCAATTTTCTCATGATTGACTTCACAGGTATAGTAAAGAGAACCCTAGAAATCCACATGGAAGCACAAAGAGTCTGAGCTATCAGAGCAACTCCAGGCACACAGAACAGGGCTTCAGTCATCCCAGCTGTGACTTCAAATGACAGTGCAGAACCACAGGAACATGAACACCAATAAGGTGACAGAAGAGAAGACACCGAAAGCAGTAAGAGGAGCAGATATAGAACCAGGCGAAGCTATTGAATTTCACCACAATTCCAAAAATGTATGATATAGGATGGGTAGCCTCGTCAAATGATAGTGTGGGGGAAAGTAAAGTATCTATTCATGAAAGAAAGAAACTGGGTCCAATTCGATGAATTGTGAAACCTGCAGAGTAACACATGGGAAATAGTCCACATATAAACATAGGGACCTAGTTTCTGAACGACAGAACACAAGAATAAGAAGCAGCAAACAGGATTATGTGCGATTAAAAACTTGCATGGACATGGTAATAACTGAAAGTACGAAGAAACAGCTTATACAATGGATATATTTTTTAAAAAAATCCATAAAGTAAGTAAATAATGTTCTAATAAATACATAAGCAAAAAGAAAGAAAAATTAGTAGGAAAAAGAAAACACTGCTCAAAAGCAGCTGAAAGAGTCAAAATGTAAATGGCACATGCCCCACATGTTTAGTCATGAAGAAAATGTTCATCTAATGTACACTGAGATCTTTCTGCCCAGTCAGGGTCTACACTCAAAGTCCTAAACAATAGCAAACACTGGAGCCAATGCAAGAGGAAGAACAGATATAGTATCATTGGAAATCCAACCCATTGCAGCCATCAGGCAAGACAGTGTGCAGCTTCTTGAACAACCAAACAAACAAAAAGAGAAAACCCAAAACAGATACTCCTCAGGTTTATAAAGAATGACATATGCTGAAGAATATCAACAACGTAGAAAGGAACTCAGAAAGAAAAAGACACATAACAGACAGAGAATAGTTAACAAAATGATGATGAGTTTAATTTTTCCTTCAGTAATTTCTTAAAATGTATGTGGACATTATTCCCAAAACCAAACATGAAAACAGGATACAGCCTCAGAAAACCCAAAACAACGTGAAATCAATATATATGTATATATGCTCATATACATATACACACACATATATTCTATGAAAATATTTATTTTTACTTCAAATATAAGGATACAAAATGCTAAGAGTGAAGGAAGTTTTTTTAATAAAATATGCTGTGACGAGGGTTGGTCATAATTATGGTAGGTAAGAGGAAAAACCAAATCTATCAACATACAAAAGAAAGAGTATAAACAAATGATCAAGTGGTCCATTTGCCAGAAAGCGCCGTGATCAACATGAATACATTTCACAAAAGTTTTCAAATACATGAAGCAATCACTTCAGTAGGAAGCAACTAGACAGTGATGCAGGGAAGCTTCGGTCAGTGATGTTGGAAATCACGGCAGAACATTTGTGAGAAAGACCATGAACAGCACAGAAAACCAATAACGCCTAGCAGGACTCCAGAGAATCATGCACACAAGAGCAGAAGACACTCAGTCTTCTCTAACTTCAATCTGCTTGCTCCAGGGTGGATATGTCTTAGAACAAATCTTCAAACCTAGTAAAGATCAAGGTTTGAAAAGTATCTCCTTTGGGTGGTGGTGGTACACACTTTTAATCTCAGCACTTGGGAGGTAGAGGCACATCAATTTCTGAGATCAAGGCCAGCATGGTCCAGAGTGAGTTCCAGGAGACCCAGGACTACACAGAAAAGTCCTGTCTTGAAAAACAAACAAACAAAATACCAAAAACCAAAATAAAGTGTCTCCTGCAAGAATCTAGAAGGCTGACATCAACAGTAGCTAGAAAACAGAAGAATCCATGGAAGACATGGGAACACTGACTCACTGCTGACATGTTCTCATTCAAGCATGTGAGGAAATACAAAAGGATGTTTGTGTTCTGTAAAGATTCTACGTCATTTGTACCAAGATTGTACAGTCATTTTTTTAATATAGAGAAAATTTCCCTGAAATTTATAAAAATTTTGAGAAACCACAAAGAGTTAAAAAAATTATGAAACAGCATCAAACCCAGAAGTGATTTCAAAATATATGAAAATTGTAACAATGCATGAGGACATGAACACAGACGACAGAGGATACCAATGGGAAGACAAAAAGACAGATGGAGTTTACTACTCTGTTACTAAGAGTTTTAAGATATTAAGAGAGATATTAACCAAATTTTATCAAAATACTACTGGTATTACCTTAGAAGTGGAGAAATTAACCTTAAAAGATACAGAACCTGAAGGAATTGTTCTACCTAAAAACTATATCAAAATTAAAATAAGGAAAACTATTTAATATTCGTATGAAGATACAACCAGTGAGATGAAGGAGAGACAGGATCACAATCAGATAAAATTATATTTGCCTCTGAGTATTAATTCCTTTTTTGGGGGGCTCAAACAGGGTTTCTCTGTATAGTTCTAGCTGTCCTGGAACTCCCTCTGTAGACCAGGTTGGCCTCCATCTCACTGAGATCTGTCTGCCTCTGCCTGACAAGTGCTGGGATTAAAGGTGTGTGCCCCCACCATCCGGCTCAGTATTAATTCTTACAGAGAGTCTTCTAATAAATATAATAGGACAATCCTGAGATTATTCTCAGCAGACTTTTAAAGAATCAGTTCTAATGAACCAGAATGTGGCAAAAGCATTTTTATATCCTGTTTCTACTGTCACTTGAGCCCCTCCCTGTTGTGGGACTCTAATAGCCACTGTACCTAGGGTAAACATTAGGATGAATAGTTGTTTTCTAGATGTACGTTGACACTGAAGAAACCACTGTGGAAAATACTGTTTTCTGTGATGTATAGAGTTGTTTTTCTGAAGCAGCTTTTCAGCTTTTGCATGGCTTTGGTCAAAGACTATCTGGGCACACCCGGATAGCTTGAATTATTGTGTACTGTAACCACTAAAGAGGCAGGAGTGTGATATTTTCCTTTAGAAAACTTACAGATTAGATCAGGGCTATGATATGAGAAACTTTTTTTTTCTCAAAAAAACAAATGTTGTGTAATAATAAAGAAGGGCCTAAAATTCATCTTGGCGTAACCTTTCTTCGACCGACCTGAATAACACAAAACACCCAGCACCTTCCTACCCTTTCCTCAATCCTCTATCATACCTGGATCCTTTGCTGCCGTCTCCTCTCTCTTCTCCAGCCAGGGGGTTTGTTCGGCTGCACAGGTGAGCAGGTCCAACTGAGCAATGTGAGACCTGCACAGGACAAAGAGATTCTTCAGAAAGCACCTGGAACTTTTCATGGAACAAAAATGAAAGTTGCTAACACCCGACGAAAGGATAAACATGAAGGAGAGAGAAAATATCAAGACAAATGTCTCTTTCCCTAAGGATTTCACTTGACTCTCCAAGATGTGAGACTCATTCACACACAGCTCCCAGACATGCAGAGCAAGAGAGACTGCAGGAAGATATTCTCACCCTCAGGATCCACACTGCTGCAGTTCTCCAACAGGAGATCTCTGCAAAAAAGCCCTTTGAGCAGGGTCTAGACATTCCCACTCCTGCAAAAGTCCACAGTCACAGCACTGAATGTCAACAGACCCTGAAGTAAGAAAACAACAGACTGGCCACGAGTGTATGGGAAAAGTGCCTTTCTTCAACCAAGGAGACCAATTTTCTGATTTAGGTGAGTGATCATTTTATTCAAACAGTGCTTTCTAATTTTGTTTTCATCTATAATGAGTTTTCTAACTATAAAAATAGTGTGGCCTGATATCCTCACAACATACACACTGCACTTGCCTGGACCCAAGAGGTTACATTAAAAACCTAGCATATAAAGATATATTTCTGAATGCTGCATTCACATCATAGAACACATAAATCTCAGATGAAAAATTAATGGGGATTAAAAGTTTGCTTAGTAAAAGTTAATGTTCTCAACCAAAGCTGTGGTACTTGACACCAGAGATTAGCACTCAAACAGTTTACAGCCAGCTCAAGTCTTTATCCCAGCTAGCTTTAGCTTTATCACACCTAGGCAAGGCTTCAAGTATCCCGAACACAGAGTTTTTAAGGTCAGAGGCCTCAGTCCAGGCGTCTTGCTTGGCACCGCAGGGGAAGTTCTGCAGTGTCAGCAGTGTGAAGCAAGCAGTTTTTAACAGGAGCTAAGATAGGATGTTAGAAACCTTGAGAAGGGTTTCTGCACACACAGGCAGCTAGGATGTGTGTGCAGCTGGAGGAGGTTCTCCACAAACAAACAGTTTTTAAAAAGGTTAAGAAAGTTTAGATAGAATAGAATTTGCTTTCTAGAATAGATCTGGGTAGTCTTCCGTAGATTCTCCATGAAGGAAATCAGTTTCTAATTAACCCTGGGAACGGTCTCAGCAAGAATACAAGATGGAGGAACCTCTGCATGGTCTTGTCCTGTCACAGTGTATTTTCTGATTCAGTTAAACCTGCACGAGTTCCTCATGTGACTAATATCTACTAAGCTCTCTGGTTACCTAGTCCCAGTGGCAAAGGCCATTCTCTTGAATAGGAACGTGGAAGAACAGGGGAATTAAGAAAGCATGGATGGGGGCTGGAGAGATGGCTCAGTGGTTAAGAGCATTGCCTGCTCTTCCAAAGGTCCTGAGTTCAATTCCCAGAAACCACATGGTGGCTCACAACCATCTGGAATGAGGTCTGGCGCCCTCTTCTGGCCTTCAGGCATACAGACAGAATATTGTATACATAATAAATAAATATAAAAAAAAAAAAAAAAAAAAAAAAAAAAAAAAAAAAAGAAAGCATGGATGTATTTAAATTCCAGGGGCTTTGTAACTGCTACAATGATAGATAGTAAAGAGAACCGTCTTTGCAGACAGCATATAATACAAACGCTTTACCAGGTTATTTTGTGAAAATATTCTGGCAAGCATAAGTCCCACCTCATAGGATCTCAAACTTACTGACAACGGAACAATATTCACAAGGGAATTTTTTTTTTAAAAAAATGTGTCTTTCTGAGCAGCCTCAGCGAGCACACCCCTGGTCCCTACCCTCCTGGGTCCCAGCCCCGCAGCTCCTCTGACCTGGGAGGTTCCAGGGCCGCTGGGCTGCTGTTCCCGCCACTGCACGGCTCACTGCTGACTTTCCCAGGCCACCGAACGTGTCACCTATGGTTACCGGGAGTTTTCACGTCCTTCTAGAGAAGCCACTGTCCTCCGCCCCGGATTCTGGGCTACGCGGCTCCCCGAGTTCCCACAGCGAATGGTGCGTTTTTCTGTCACTCTATCCTGGAACCTTAGAGCGCAACCCTGGCTCCGCCCACTACAACCCGGATCTGGTCACCCTGGCTCTTCTAAACCCGCCCACGCCAGGCGTTTTCCCATTTCTTAGTTTTCCAGGCGCACTCAGCTTTTTTTCCTATTCCTCTTCACCGCTCTTGGGGGCCGCCCCGCCGATACCTGCCCCACTCACTCCGCCTCAGGCCGCCTTCCACACAGCTCAGGAGGTCAGGCTGCCCCGGACCCGCTCTGCACAGCCTCCCCACATGCTTGCTGCCAGCCTAGAGCAGAACTGGATCTAGGAGGATGCTGCACTGCGGCATCTGGCCCCACACTGGGTAATTTCTCATCTTAGAATATCAGCCTTTTGGTCTTAAAAAACAAACAAACAAAAAACCGCACGACGAAAGACAACAAACATCGTAAATTCTAATTGCTTTTTGTTCCATTCCCAAAATATAATATTAAAACTGAAGGGACCACGCCCACAAAAAGGGGGGTGCTTCCTCCCTGACCCCAGATTAGAACCACACCCAAACACCTATCTTCTTCACCTCTTCACAGAGAGATCCTTTATTAAGCGGGGAGTGGGTGGAGGGGGGCGCGAATTAAAGTGACTGATTTCTGACTCAGACGGTAAAACAGCAGGAAATGACCTTGAAGGTGTGATTTTTTTTAAAGAGAAAAAAGGTGGAGGTCTGTGTTAGAAAGGACTGGGATGCAGTGGTGTGTTTTGATTGGGCAAATTAATTAGATTAGGTAAAGGGAGATTTCGGTTGCTGGAATTAAAAACTTGATAGCTAGACAAGGTAGTCAACCAAGGACAGAAGACACAACAGGCATGAAGTAGAGAGTAAAATCTGGAGTCTCTCTTAGTTAAATGACTCCAGTAGGAAAATAATTTTATTTCTTTCCTTCACACTGATGCATTACCGGTGACTAATGCTTATGTTTGTGGAACAGCACTTAATGAAAAGAGAGGCCATGAATTTGAAAGAGAGCAAGAAGGAGTATATGGAAAGGTTTGGAGGAAGGAAAGGAAAGGGGGAAATGATTTAGTTATAGTATAATCATAAAAAGTAAAAGGAATAGTTTTTTTTTAAAAGAAATGAAGAGCTGGAGGGTGGTGGCGCCCGCCTTTGATCCCAGCACTAAGGAGGCAGAGGCAGGTGGATTTCTATGAGTTCGAGGCCAGTCTGGTCTACAGAGTGAGTTCCTGGATAGCTAGAACTGATACACAGAAAACCCTGTCTCCAAAACCAAAAAACAAACAAACAAACAACAACAGCAAAACTCAACCAAGCAACCAATACACAAACAACAACAACAAAAAAATGAAGATACTGCTGCCTCAAATAGTTTGTCAGAACAGTTTAAATCACAATGAAATTAGCCCACTGTCCCATTAACGATCTAGGTATATTTTAATAAGATCAAGTCCTAATTATGAAAAAGGATCTCTCTGGAAACAAGCTTATCCTAAAATCTTAAGTTTGCATAACAAAAAGCCGTTTAGATTTTTATTGTTAATAAAGGTATATCTTAAGAATTGAGTCACCCTTTAAATGTAAAATACCAGGTTTTCACTTTTTCATAAGGCGGCAAAGAAGTTTTAAAGTATTTTTATTTTATATGTTTTGAGTGTTTTGGCTGGGTATAGGAGAATGTACCATATGCTCACAGCGCTGCAGAGAGCAGAGCATTGAATTCCCTGTAACTGGAGTTACAGACAGCCGTGAGTCACCCTGTGGGTGCTGAGACCAAACCTGTGTAGTAGGATATCTCTCTAGTCAAGTAACTGTATCTAGAGTAAACATCAGAATGAAGTAGTTGTTTTTATGGAAGTACTTAGACCTTGAAGAGATAGATCATTGTGGAAAGCAGTGACTGTTTTCTGTGGTTTATAGAACTGTTTTCTTTTTTGTTTTTAACAGCACGTTTCCATTATTATTATTATTATTAATTATTATTATTATTATATTACTTTAAAAAATACCAATCCAAATCCCCACTCCCTTCCCTTTTCCCACTTCCCCCAACCCCCTCCAATCCTAAGAGAGGACAAGGCACCCTGCCCTGTGGAAAGTTCAAGGCCCTCCCTACTACATCTAGGCTGAGCCAGGCATACATCCAAAGAGAATTGGATTCCCAAAAGCCAGTACATGCAGTAGAGACAAATCCCAGTGCCACTGTCAGTGGTCCCTCAGTCTGCCACAATTGTCAACCACATTCAGAGGGACTAGTTTGATCCCATGCTTATTTACTCCCAGACAGGTTGGAGTTGGTGAGCTCCCATTAGCTCAGGCAAACTGTCTCAGTGGATGAACCCCTCATGGTCTTGACCTCCTTGCTCATACTCTCCCTACTTCCACTCCTCAACTGGACCTTGGGAGTTCAGTCCAGTGCTCCCTTGTGGGTCTCTGCCTCTGTTCCCATCTGCTGTTGGATGAAGGTTCTATGGTGACATTTAAGATAATCATCAGTCTGACTACAGGACATTTCCTTTTTTTAAAAAAAAATTAAAGAACTTGTTTTTCATTTTACATACCAATCACAGTTCCCCATCCCTCCACTCTTCCCACGCCCATTCTCACCACCTTCTCCCTATTCAAACTCCTATCCACTCTTCATAAAAATTATATATTTGTAATGAAGCTATCACAACATAACAGAAGTTTAATGTATGTTTTTAAATTTTTTCTTTCGAGACAGGGGTTCTCTGTGGTTTTTGAGCCTGTCCTGGAACTAGCTCTGTAGACCAGGCTGGTCTCGAACTCACAGAGATCTGCCTGCCTCTGCCTCCCGAGTGCTGGGATTAAAGGCGTGCGCCACCACTGCCCGGCTTAAAATTTTAATATGAGTATTTTATTTATTATTATTGATGCGTATTTATGTGTGTGGCCACAGTATGCATGTAAAGATGAGAGGAGAACTTGGGGCTGGTTCTTTCATTCCACTGGCGATGAAACTCAAGTTCCCAGGCTTACAAAGCAAACACTTTTTCCCGTTGAGTCATTTCACCAGCCTGAAAATATGTTTTTATTTTTATATGCAGAATTCCTCTTCAATATTCAGTACTGAAAGAAAAAAATTGATTACATTTGCATGGCAATTTGGAAATACTTTCACAAATTTGCTTCAAAGTACTCTAAAATAGTCCAGGCAGGTATTATTATTCCCATCCAGAAATTAAGGCCACGTATTGAGGGCAGTAAATGAAATGATGTCTGCTCACTGGTAAAACCACGCTGGCTTAGCTTTGCATCCTGCCAATCAGTATCTTTCTACTGTACAGAACTACCTCTGCCCTTGTACATTCTAGAAAACAGTCCTATCAGGTGAGTGGCTGTGGAACAACAAAATTTTGATAAAATGAAACAAAATAATTGATACAAGTACATAATGAATTTTATGAATTTATTAGTAAGAATAAAATCATGACTATTGCAGGAACATGGACTTAACTGGAGATTATAGTGTCCAGGAAATAAACCTGGTTCAAAAACAATGTTGCCTACTTTTTTCAAATATGCAGAATTAGTGTGTGTGTGTGTGTGTGTGTGTGTGTGTGTGTGTAAGAGAGAAGGGTCTAGGAAGAGGAGTGAGGGACATTTAGAGTTAGGGAAGAAGAGCGTGGGTAATAGAACACTTGAAACATGGAAATGGAAAGGAAAGAGGGGCAGGGATGGGACCAGCAGTTGCCTTGGGAATGGGGAGTTCACTGTCATAGCAAGAGGAGTGAGAACAAAGTACATGTGTGAAATGATTACTGTGAATGTGAGCTAATGAAACTCAATAGTGTATGAACATTTCCAAGGTATGAATTAAACAACATATAGCAAAAGTTAATAAATCAATCAATACACATGCTCCATAAACACTATTCTTAGGCAAAGGAAGACACTGAGACATAAAAATGAAGACATTAAAACTAAAAAAAAAAATTAATCTCTCTTAGTGTTAGAAATGGATCTGAGCATCTCAAGAAAATGGCCAGGCAAAAATTTTACTTTTGTGGAAGGGAGCATAATGGTGTCAAGCTCAACATGCAAACACACCTAGCAGGGGTCGCTCGAGGACTTCTTCCATAAAGGAAGGAGGTTAGTGCTTAAATGGTCACAGCTCACCTCACATACTTATGATAGTGGCTGGGTTAAAACAATGCAGTTACTACCAGAACATAGTTTTGAGCACCGACATGAAACCTTTATTGAACATTTCACCTCAAGAACAATTGACCATGGACAAATTTCAAGTTTTATCAAGAAGCTTCTTTGCCTTTTTTTTTTTTGAAATAGAATTCTGAAATAAACAGTACATTTTGATTACATTTTTGTACATTTAAGAATGTTCAGTGAGTGCCAGGAGTGGTGGGGCATGTCTTTAATCCCAGTATTCTAGAGAGAGAGTGAGAGAGAGAGAGAGAGAGGGAGAGAGAGAGAGAGAGAGGCAGGTGGATCTCGTTGAAACAATACCAGCCAAGACTATATAGAAAAATCTCAGTCCATTTAAGGCTAGTTAATTAGACTTGTTTCAGAAAAAAATAATGTCTGGGAGCGGGAGAGATGGCTCAGTGGTTAATGTACTGGCTGTTCTTCCAAAGAATGCAGGTTTTATATCCAGTATTCCCATGACGGTTCATAATCACCTTAACTCCAGCCCAGGGGATCTGTTGCCCTCTTCTGGCTTCTGTGAGCACTGCATGCAGATGGCCCACAGACATACATGCAGACAAAACAACCATACACATAAAATAAAAATAAATAAATCTCTTTTAAGAAGCCCAGTGTACCAGTCTGTGGTAAGGCTGTCACTCCTTGCATCACATCGAAAAAGAAAAAAGCAAATGTATTTTATTTTTCTGGTTTTAACAGATAATTCCTGAGATCAGTCCAATGAAGCATTGGTTTTAGAGTGAGTAGCCTAAGATAGATGCTGTCTACTACGTTGGTTTTAGATGTTACTAATGGCTTGTTCTAAAGTGCTGTGGGTCAACCCTAGAGCTTCACCATACTAGCCAAGTGCTTTAAGACCCAGCTATCTCACTAGTCCTGCTAACAATTATTGAACTCTTTGTTCCCAAATGCCACTAGTATTTACTGTGGAAGCACCAGCTTGTGTATCCCAAGAGGCTCACTGTAACCAGGAGAAAGCAGAGTACACAAAGAGAAGGCAGACGACCCTCCCCTCTCTAAGAATATACAGAGTGGAAATGGGGACCATTTCCAGGAGGAAGGTATTGAGATGAGATTTGAAGAGGCAAATTCCTGTTCTGCTAGAAGGGGATGGGGTCTAGAGTTTAGGAGTTGGGAGAGATATCTTGGTGGTCAAGAACACTTTTTGCACTTCTTAATAACTTGGGTTCAAATCCAAGCACCTACATAGTGGTTCCCACCATCCTGTAACTCCAGTTCCATGGATCTAATGCTCTCTTCCAGTCTCTAGGGGCATACATGGCACAGACATACAGACAGACAAAACACCCATATATGTAGTGTTTTTTAAAGGGAATTATGAGAATGATTGAGGCAAGTGTAGTAACAGAAAGGACAAGGAATTTGAGACAGTTACTTATCCCCCCCCCCCTTTTTTTTTTACAATGCTGGCTCTTTATTCCTTTCAAAAATCAGAAAGCCAGGGTCAAAGAGATGGCTTCATGGTTAAGAAGCTCAAGGGGATCTGGAATAAGGATCCAACAGTCCATGTAGGCATAGCAGCCTACCTGTAATTAAACCTGGGAATTCAGAGAAAGAAAATCCTAGAGCAAATAGAATTGCAAGACTACCTGCCTCAGTAAGTTCTGTTTTGATTTAAAGACCCTGTGTTGTTTGGAATGGAGAATGCGGAGTCCTCGGAGGTTAATACTATGGGGTGAAAAAGGTCAAGGAAAAAGCACCCTGACTCTGACCTGACCCCAGGACCAGGGCTTGAAATCCCACCAATCCCTGGGCTTGTCCCCAAATCAGGCTACACAAATTCACCAATCTCAAGTCACCCTAGAAAGAACTGTTTCCCAAGAACCCCTATTTGTAGCTCTGTGCCCTGTTACCCTAGGGGCAGCCACACTGCTGGATTCTTTCTTCCCAATAAATCTCTTGAGTGTGGTGTGACATTTTTTTCTGGAGTGGAACAAGCTGTAACACTTTTACCAGGAAAACTTTCCACTAGCAGAGCAGAGCTGTAACATTTCATCTGGCCTGAGCAGAGCTGTAATAACTTTGTTGGGGAAATCCTATAGTTGTTACACTTGCTTTGGGGAAACCTTTCCCTGGAGCAGAACTGTAAGCTGCTATGTTTACAGTAACTTTGTGGTAATTTTGGCTCCTGACTGCCAGGATACCTTTCCATCTGAGCTGCAATACTTACACATATAATTGAATGTTTGGGTCCCAGTATTAGGAACTGTCTTGGAAGTATTAGGAGGTGTGGCCTTGTTTGGCACGTGTCACTGAGGGTGGGCTTTGAAGTTTCAAAAGCCCACACAGTTCCCTGTTAGCTCTCTCTGCCTTGTGCCAATGGATCAGATGTAAGCTCTTAGCTACAGCTCTAACAATAGCACCATGCTTGCCTGCCTGCTGGCATGTTCCCTAAAATGATGGTCATGGACTCTAACCCTGTGGAACCTTGAGTCCCCAAATTGAATGCTTTTCCTTATACTTAACTTTGTCAGGGTATATTCTCACAGTAATAAAAAGTAACCAAGACAGAGCCTATGCCAAAAATTGAATAATAAAAACAAACAATATTGGGCTCCCATCCACACAGGGAGATAAGTACACATGGATCACCTGCCCCCCAAACACACCCATACACAGGTGAACCTGCATACACATATGAATGCACACTATGACCACATATGCATATGAGATAAAAAATCTGAAACTCAAGTTGGTTTGTCACCTTCAGATTCCTATTGGCACATGGCTGTTTATGATGGGTGATAGATACTAATTTTGGGGGAGATGATGCAGAATCAAAGACTTGGACAGAGGCCAGACTTACCTCTCCATATTTGGCTTTGTGGCCTTAGTCAACTCTGAACCTGGAGGCAGGGTTGTACCCCTTCTGACCACACCCTGTCCTTGCATTGTGAAGCCAAGGCAGGTTGAGTGATCTCATAGATATCAAGGGGGCACCTCTCTCATTCTGCTCATGCTAGTCCTGGCTGGACCTCTTTTTCCTGCACCCCGGAGTAAAGTTGTCAACTTTGTCAATCATCCTCACCGAATCTACTTGCAAGATGGATGTAAATGGTCCCAAGCGCATGGAACCCCACAGGCCGCTTGACCTGAACCCTCGCTCAACCCCAGTACACAAGAATCTGCTACAAGAACCCTGCGGTGTGGTTGGTAACAAGCTGCCAACAAAGATGAGCTCTGTGGTCATCGACATGGGTTCTGGCACATGTAAGATGGGCTTCGCAGGACAGACTCTGCCCAGCTACATCGTGGCCAGTGTCGTGGGCTACCAGCCCAAGAAACAAATCACAATGGGGCAGCCCAAGGTGGACACTTTTATTGGTGAGGCAGCCCAGGCTAGCCAGGAGTTAACCCTGATGCAACCTGTTCGTAATGGTATTGTGGTGAACTGGGAAGCAGCTGAGATCATCTGGCGCCACATCCTGGAGAACGACCTCCGAGTTGCTACCCAGGACCATCCTCTGCTGTTCACGGACCCGCCCTTCAACCCTGCAAGCAACCGCGAGAAGCTGGTGGAAGTAGCCTTCGAGTCTCTGCACTCCCCTGCCATATATGTGGCCTCCCAATCCGTGCTGTCAGTCTATGCCAATGGGCGCGTTAATGGGCTGGTGGTAGACACTGGCCACGGGGTCAGCTACACAGTGCCAGTCTTCCAAGGCTACAACCTACCCAGTGGCATCCAGCGCCTTGACCTGGCTGGCCACTACTTGACTACCTTCCTGGCAGAGAAAATCTTGAGATCTAGCTTGCCACTGAAGAAGGAAGACATGGACACAATGGAGAGTATCAAGCATCAATACTGCTATGTGGCCTCAGATTTCCAGAAGGAGCAAGGGCGCCCTGATGACAAATTGCGGCGGTGCCTGAAGCTGCCAGATGGACAGATGATCACAGTGGGGAAGGAGCTCTTCCAGTGTCCTGAACTACTATTCCATCCCCCGGAGACCTCGGGACCTTCATCTTTGGGCCTCCCCAGGATGGTGGAACAGAGCCTCTGCACGGTGCCGCAGGATCTGCAGGCCGAAATGGAACAAAATGTGCTGCTGTGTGGAGGCTCCTCTCTCTTCTCTGGCTTCGAAAGTCGCTTCAAGGCTGAGCTGCTGCAGCGTCTTAGTCCAGACGCCTATGTGGTTGTGGCTGCCCAACCCAATAGGAACCTCTCAGTCTGGACTGGGGGATCCATTCTAGCCTCACTGTGTGCCTTCCAGTCCCGCTGGATCCAGCGTGAGCAGTACGAGGAACAAGGTCCCGATATAGTGCACCGCAAGTGCTCTTGATTCATTGCTGGGTGGAGAGTGGTGTGGGAATAAAACTTCCATAGTGAGCACTTTCCTTTCATGTTGCATTCTCTCCCATCCCACTCGCTGAAAGCCACCTAGGAGCCTCAGGTATGAACCCCCTTGCAGACCAATGGCCGCTGGAACTTGACCCTCACACATTCCTGGGTGAAATCAGACCTAAAGCACCTCTTCTAATTTACACCTTTGAGGCATCCCGATTCTCACCCATTCCTCCACAAGGATCCCTAACATAATACCATTCCCTAATCTTATCAACCCACCCTCCCGGCATCCTCAAGTGTGTGTGTGTGGAGATACACACCCACAGACTATCATTTTCCAATGTTAGTTTCTAAGTTTTCCAAGCTTAGTGGACTTGGATGTATTTTCCGTGTGTATTGACATTTCATCTTCTCAGAACTGTTAGTTCATTAGCTCACTTAGTAACTGGATTGTCTGATGTTTGCTTAGTCTTTTGAGTTCTTTATATATTCTAGGCATTAGTACTCTGTCAGATAGGTTGTGTGCAAAAATATTCTTTCACTTTGTGGGGTGCTTATTGACACAATTGGTTTTTGTTTGTTTGCTATGCAGGAGCCTTTTAATTTCATGAATTCTTAATTGACAGTTGTTGGCCTTATTTCTGGAACAACTGGAGTCCTGCTGAGAAAATCTTCCCCTGTGCCTATATTAAATTGTTTTTCCATATTTATTCTTTATGAATGTGTTGTCTGAATATCTTATGTGCATTACATGCATGCCTGATGAGCATGAGTTTAGAAGAGAGAATAAATTTTCCTGGGGTTGAATTTATAGGTTGCTGTTAGCCACCATGTGGTTTCTGGGAACTGAATCCAGTTCATTAGAACAAAAGTGCTCTCAACCCCTGAGTCATTTCCCTGGCCTCCTCTTTTAGCAGGTTAAGATTGTCAGTTCTTCATTGAAAGTTTTTGATAGCTTCAAAGTTGATAAACATCTAATTTCATTCTTATACATATAACTCTAATTATTTTTAGTTTTATTTTTGGTGTATGAGTGCCTTGTTTGTATACATGTATACGTACCATGCCATTGGTGCCTATAAAAGAGAGAAGAGGAGTCAAAACCTCTGGAATTGGAGTTATGGATGACTGTGAGCCACTATGTGGGTGCTGAAAATCAAACTTTGGTCTTCTTCAAGATCAACAAATGCTCTTAATATTTGAACATCTCTCTAGCTCCCAACCCCTTCTTTGAGACAAGATCTCTCTGCTCAGCCCTATCTGCCCTGGAACTCCTTGGTACGTCAGAATGGTCTCAAATTCATGGGGATCCTGAGTTTTGGAACTAAAGGTACAAGCTACCACACCTGGCTGGTCTGTTCACTTTTACCAACACCAGTTTTTAGAGAGGCTATCACAGAGATAGTGGGCATCTGCAGAGAATCATCATCTATTAGCTCTAAACTGAACCATTGTGCACATGAGCTCACAGGAGATGTGAATGCATGCTTAAGATTTACACACAAATTAACTATAATGAAATTTGACAAAAAAATCTTACCAGGAAATATAGTGAGAGTTCACACATCAAATAAAGGATATTTTCAGCTACTATTTTGTTCTAAATGTTAAACACAGGGCTGCTTCCCAGCAACTAATGGCTGCTAAGATGAGAGCATCAACAAAGGAAGAAAACAATGATGTAGGTCATTGGAGGGCACTGATCTGTGAAAAATAAGGGTCAGGGAAGGAGATCATATTTTATAACTCAAATAATAGTTTGTTATGGTAAATGATGAACTGGGTCTTAGTGGATTCAGCATGAGTCAGGGAATTTCTGGACTTTGCCTGATCATTGTGATCATTGGTTCTCTATTCTGTGTAGGGCACAGGCTCTTGTTGAGTATTCTGTAATTTTGAATGTTACAGCATGGGTCTCACTGTGCCTTCTTCATGGTTAATGGCTGCTGTGCAAATGAAGCTGCTCTCCCCTGCCTTGGACTTTGGAATGGAACACCCAGAGCATACACATGAAGTTCGGACTGTCATGGGTCCTTCTAGAATCTTAGCTTTACACCTAACTGTGGATCTTCTGCGACACACCCCTGATAGCATTTCCAATGGTATTCAGACAAATAGTTTTTTGATAGAGTCCTGGACCAAATATGTCCAACATGGTTTCCTCTCAGGAGCCTTAATGTTTGGGGATATGAGTAACGTCATTACACCTGAGGCTGAGATGACCTTATCCCTGAGATTTTGAACCTGAAAGTAGAGCCATGAGGCAGATAATGTCCCAGATTTTTTTAGTGTTGTAGTCACCTGGAAAGAAAGGAACTGGGGGCAAATGAGTGGCGTCTCCAGTCAGCAACAATAACAAAATAATATCAAAGTAATATTATAATGATAACAATAATGATGTACTAATTCCAACATTCCACAGAAATTGGCAGGTGCTTCCTGTCACAGATGCCAGCATTTCACAGAGGGTAACTGTGCTTTCTGCTGTAGCCGCCTACATTACACAGTAGAGATCGATGGTTTGCAAACTTGGTCACTTTTGACCTGACTGAAGATGTGTGACTCTGCTGTTTTCATTCTTTGACATTTACACCACATCCACCTCTTTTTCCATCTTTTCGGAATTTTCTATAAACATATTTGCATATTGTTGCCACTTAGTGCAGAGCTTCTGATCTCAAACTCCTAGTGGATGATGGGGAATTTCTCAGTGACAATTATTTTCTTTTTCCTGGGAGGTGGGGCATGATAAGGATTGTTCAAGAGAAGCTTCATTACAGGCATGGGAACCACTGAAGGGCATTTCCCAGAATGAAGAATCTGTTTAACTCTGAACGTACATGCTCACAGTCAAGGAGCAGGTTTGGGTGTGATGGGTCAGATACGTAAAATGATGAAGACACAGAAGGACTGAAAGGCTCTGGTGGCATTGAATTAACCAGGTTTGTGTTTAAACCTGTTCTGTGAAATTAGATATCGGCTCAGGATGAGGGGAGTGGAGACATTCAGCTTGACCTATGCTAGCCAAACTGAATTAGCACTATTCACACTAAAATTAAACAAAGGGGAAGAAATGAAAATGATGAAATCTGCTTGAAATCAAACCCAGAAGAATCTCTGTAACTCATAAGAAGAGCAACTCTGTATTTCTTGAAGCAGAGGCCCTTTCAGTGCCTGTAGACATAATCACTGGAGACACAGAATGGAGACTTTTTTTCTGTCTGTGGGAAGCTAATTTGGGATGCATACAATTCTCTCCTCTTCATCAACTTGGGGGTGAATTACCTTCAAAATCTAGCTACCTCCAGAATTGCACATAATAACCTCTATCTTCACCCAGAAAGAATATGGTTGTAGTTTCTCGCATTTTTCATGTCAAGGTTGTTTATTGGTCCTATGTTGATTAAGGATGAATGGATCACCAGGTTAAGATGTTTTCATATGACAATTCATCCAGTACAAATGCCAAAGGTAATTTGTAATAAATGGCCTATATATTCAGAATGTCTGGGCCTCATAAAAGATATATAGCCTTCATCACATCCTTTTTTCTTTCCAGAAATATAGACTGTACTTTTTTGTGAGACAAAATTTTGGGTAGCCTAGAATTTAGTTACTGTTTAGCTGAGGGTGGACCTTGAAACTCATGCCTCTACTTCCTGACAAGTACTAGGATTCCAGGCAAAAGTGGAATTATCCAGTACAGTTGCATTGGCTTATTTTATGTGAACTTGACACAAGTTAGAGTCATTGGGGAAGAGGAAGTCTCAAATGAGAAAATGCCTCCTTAAGGTTGGGCTGCAGAGAAGCCCATAAAGCATTTTCTTATTTAGTGACTGCTATAGGAAGGGCTAGCACACTGTAGGAGGGCCCACCCCTTTCTTGGCTGATGGTTCTGGGTTCTATAAGAATCCAGGATGAGCAAGCCATGAAGAGCAAGCCAGTAAGCAGCGCTCTTTCTTGGCCTTTTCTTCAGCTCCTGCCTCCAAGGTTTTTTTTTTTTTTTTTTTTTTTTTTGAGACAGGTTTTCTCGGGAGCTTTGGAGCCTGTCCTGAAACTCACTATGTAGACCAGGCTGGCCTTGAACGCACAGAGATTTACCTGCCTCTTCTCCAGAGAGCTGGGATTAAAGTCTTGTGCCACCACCATCTGTCGGAGCTGGTGAGGGTCCAACACAAATTCCCTAACCCGGCTGGAACGGAGTCGCGAGGAATAAAACTGGCACAGCTTACACCGTCATCATGGAAAAAGCCAGCTCACCCTTTATCACCCTTTATTCTCCAAACATCTTATATACCCACACATTACGCCATCACCTAGGCAACCAGGTGCCTCGGCTCAAGTCATGTCTGCATCTAGCAGTCAGGTAGGCCACGAATTAGCATCTCTATAAGACATTCTCCAAATTACAAAAGAAGGAAGCACCAAACCTCTAAACTCATAAGTCATCAGCTTCAGTCAAACATCTCTTCTCAGGTAATCCACACTTTAACAAAAGAAAGCTAGGAGCAGCACATCCTGGCTTTTGTTAAAGGCAGAGACAGCTTGTCTGCAGTTACATGATCCGCTCAAACCGGGCTAATGGCTTTTGTGCCATGGCGAAATATGGGCCCACACCATCAGGCTCCAAAACTACAGAGAAACCCTGTCTCAAAAAAAAACCACATTGAGAAGCTTGGAGGGCAGGTACATAGGGATGAAAGAAGAATGGGATTGAGATGCATGATGTAAATGTCACAAAGACTAAATAAAAAGTAAGTTAAAAACTGAGATACCACGGTCATGGTATCTTTTCACAGCAATAAAAAACCTTAACTAAGATACCACTAACACATAATCAGATTTTATGTTCCTATACTCCACAAGCACAATGTCCTCTAATATTACCAATATTCTCTCTCTCTTTCTTTCTTTTCTGTTGTTTTTTGAGAAAGGGTTTCTTTGTAGTTTTGGAGCCTCTACTAGAAATAGCTCTTGTATATTAGGCTGGCCTCA